AATCCAACGCAACTTGAACCCCTGTGGGGGCAGGACAGGACGTAGAGGAGGTGAGGTAGTGGAGGGACATTTGGTGCTCAGGAATTATTGAGTGAAATGGGTGGTTTTTCGTACCGACAGCCGAATAATAACCATCAGACAGAGGGATGACTTTTGGCTGTCCACCTTGTTGGACCCTCGCTACCGTTCCAAAATGGTGGCCTTTTTCACACCTGCTGAGAGGGAGGCCAAAATAACGTACTATAAAAACCACCTATGTAGTCAGCTGGTCTCTGCCTGTCTGCGCCAACGTCCATCCTCAGACACTGTGGGCCCTGTGCGCTCGCGTTCCGCTGCCATGGCAGCAGGGGAGGGGTGGGGTGGTAGGAGCAGTGGCAGCTCCACCAGCAGCAGCTGCCTCAGTCTGCAGTCGATGATGAGTAGCTTTCTTCACCAGCGCAGTGAGGAAACTAATAACCAGCCGCAGCAGCAGCAGCATCAGGTGGACCTGGAGCAGGACCTCAAACAACAGGCTTAGGCCTACTTGGACAGCACCCTGCCAACCGAGGTAGACAATCCCCTTGACTACTGGGCAACGAAACTTGACCTTTGGCCCCAACTAGCTGAATTTGCCCTTGAAAGGCTGTCATGCCCGGCCAGTAGCGTGGCATCGGAGCTCGTGTTTAGTGCGGCAGGAGGTATTGCAACTCCGCGGAGGACACGACTGTCCACCCAAAGTGTGGAGAGACTCACGTTTGTGAAAATGAATCAGGCGTGGATTAGTCTGGATTTCAAACCACCAGTTCCTGACACAACTGACTAAATCCGCCATGAATCATGCCCCAAACATGTGCCACTTTCAGGTCTCCTCACACTGCTGGTGTGTTCCATTTTTTGTCATAGGGTGCTGGCAGATTACGGGCCTCCCATAGCTGCTGCCAGGCCCCTAATCTGCCATGGGCCCCTATACCGCCTCCTCATGCTGCTGCCAGGTCCAGAGTCTGTCATGGGTCCCTGTACGGCCTCCCATTGCTGCTGTCTCCATCGCCACACTCTGCCATGTGCCACTTTCGGGTCTCCTCACACACTGCTGGTGTGTTGAATTTTTTGTCATAGGGTGCTGGCAGATTACGGGCCTCCTATAGCTGCTGCCAGGCCCCTAATCTGCCATGGGCCCCTATACCGCCTCCTCATGCTGCTGCCAGGTCCAGAGTCTCTCATGGGTCCCTGTACGGCCTCCCATTGCTGCTGTCTCCATCGCCACACTCTGCCATGTGCCACTTTCAGGTCTCCTCACACACTGCTGGTGTGTTCCATTTTTTGTCATAGGGTGCTGGCAGATTACGGGCCTCCCATTGCTGCTGCCAGGCCTGTAATCTGCCATGGGCCCCCGTACCGCCTGGTCACGCTGCTGCTGGGTCCACAGTGTGACATGGGTCCCTGTACCGCCTCCCATTGCTCCCACTCTGCCATGTGCCACTTTCAGGTCTCCTCACACTCCTGCTGGTTTCCATTTTGTCATAGGTTGCTGGCAGATTACAGGCCTCCCATAGGTGCTGCCAGGCCCCAAATCTACCATGGGGCCCCGTACCGCCTCGTCACGCTGCTGCTGGGTCCACATTGTGACATGGGTCCCTGTACCGCCTCCCATTGCTCCCACTCTGCCATGTGCCACTTTGAGGTCTCCTCACACTCCTGCTGGTTTCCATTTTGTCATAGGTTGCTGTATGGCCTCACATTGCTGCTGCCTCCACCGCCACACTGTGGCTCCAAACACTGGTTTTGGCCCCGTGACTGGCCAAATGAGTGAAGTGTGCGGTGATTCTAAGATCGACGGCACTCATCTGCATGTCATACTGACTGACAGTATTATTTCTCTTCCCCAGCAGACTCCAAGGGCATTTAAATTAAAGGTACAGTGTTCTGCACTAATATTAAGTCTCTCTGAAGCCTAGAAACACCCTTTTTTAAGTTAAATTCACAGCGAATATATTCGACTCGAATCGAATATTGTCCACGAATTCGTCGAATCAGTCGAATCGAATTTTTGAATACTTCGCTCATCTCTAGTGATAATAAAGTGTAACTTATAGAAAAAAAAACTTCTGTCAGGTTTCATTGCTTGAATTAAATAGTGGAATATACCAAGAGATTCTTATATGCCAGAAAGAGTTTATTTGTTTTAAAGTTCTTTTGAAATGCCAACATATTTCAAAGTTTCAAAGGCCCTCTTCATCAGGATTAATGTACAACTAATAAGATTTAAATCAACAATGTAATACTCAAACCCATGGCTATGAACTAAATCAATAGAAATTCATAGTTGATAAAATAGGATGAGAATAGGTACATTATAAAAACTTTATAAAACATACTTTTATGTTTCTGAAAACATACAGTGGGGCAAAAAAGTATTTAGTCAGCCACCAATTGTGCAAGTTCTCCCACTTAAAAAGATGAGAGAGGCCTGTAATTGGCACCATAGGTAGACCTCAACTATGAGAGACAAAATGAGAATAAAAATCCAGACAATCACATTGGCTGATCTGGAAAGAATTTATTTGCAAATTATGGTGGAAAATAAGTATTTGGTCACCTACAAACAAGCAAGATTTCTGGCTCTCACAGACCTGTACCTTCTTCTTTAAGAGGCTCCTCTGTCCTGAACTCATTACCTGTATCAATGGCACCTGTTTGAACTTGTTATCAGTATAAAGGACACCTGTCCACAACCTCAAACAGTCACACTCCAAACTCCACTATGGTGAAGATCAAAGAGCTGTCGAAGGACACCAGAAACAAAATTGTAGACCTGCACCAGGCTGGAAAGACTGAATCTGCAATAGGCAAGCAGCTTGGTGTGAACAAATCAACTGTGGGAGCAATAATTAGAAAATGGAAGACATACAAGACCACTGATAATCTACCTCGATCTGGGGCTCCACACAAGATCTCACCCTGTGGGGTTAAAATGATAACAAGAACGGTGAGCAAAAATCCCAGGACCATATGGGGGGACATAGTGAATGACCTGCAGAGAGCTGGGACCAATGTAACAAAGGCTATCATCAGTAACACACTACGCCGCCAGGGACTCAGATCCTGCAGTGCCAGACGTGTCCCCCTGCTTAAGCCAGTACATGTCCGGGCCCGTCTGAAGTTTGCTAGAGAGCATTTGGATGATCCAGAATATTGGGAGAATGTCATATGGTCAGATGAAACCAAAATAGAACTGTTTGGTAGAACCACAACTCATCATGTTTGGAGGAGAGAGAATGCTGAGTTGCATCCAAAGAACACCATACCTACTATGAAGCATGGGGGTGGCAACATCATGCTTTGGGGCTGTTTCTCCGCAAAGGGACCAGGACGACTGATCTATGTACAGGACAGAATGAATGGGGCCATGTATCGTGAGAGCTCCTTCCATCAGCAAGGGCATTGAAGAAGAAACGTGGCTGGGTCTTCCAACATGATAATGAACCCAAACATACTGCCCGGGCAACGAACGAGTAGCTTCGTAAGAAGCATTTCAAAGTCCTGGAGTGGCCTAGCCAGTCTCCAGATCTCAACCCCAAAGAAAACCTTTGGAGGGAGTTGAAAGTCCGTGTTGCCCAGTGACAGCCCCAAAACATCACTTCTCTAGAGGAGATCCACATGGAGGAATGGGCCAACATACCAGCAACAGTGTGTGCCAACCTTGTGAAGACTTACAGGAAACGTTTGACCTCTGTCATTGCCAACAAAGGATATATAACAAAGTATTGAGATAAACTTTTGATATTGACCAAATACTTATTTTCCACCATAATTTGCAAATAAATTCTTTCCAAATCAGCCAATGTGATTGTCTGGATTTTTTTTCTCATTTTGTCTCTCATAGTTGAGATCTACCTATGATGCCAATTACAGGCCTCTCTCATCTTTTTAAGGGGGAGAACTTGCACAATTGGTGGCTGACTAAATACTGTTTTGCCCCACTGTATATGAAAATTCAATAATTAAAAAATAAATTTAGATGCTGTTACATTGTTAAAGAAGGGAGAAGACATGTGCATTTCATTTCGTTTAATTTTTCGGAGAAAAATTTCATATTCAGACATTCGGATGTATACGAATCTTCAAATGAACATAGTAATGAATGTCAACAAATCTGAACAAAAAAAAGTTAGAACTAAATTAGCAAATGCATTTTTTTTATACGGATGATGCAGTCGTAGTTCGAGCCCACGAGGGAAATTGATTCAATTTTTGAATTTGCTTGATCATTTAGATTCAGTTAACAAATGGTTTCAAATTTTGTTCCATTCATTGATTCAGATGCACATGATGCCAGACAATATTGTCCAATCATCCCATGTAATTTCTCATGGTGGGCTGACCTAGCATCCGAAAATATTGAATCCTTCCAATTCAAATCTGTCTTATTCTATAATATATTTAATATATAGCAATCTTCCTGAAAAACTGCAAAATTTTTCGAATCCACCCGGACCAACGAATATACAAAACAAAAGCAGAAGATACACAGTGAATTCTAAAAACGAATTGGGTCAACATTATGAATATGATGAAATGAAATTCTTCATTGAACGAATGCATCCAAAATTAAACAAAATGAAAATTTGCAGTGTGCACATGTCTAAGAGGAAGCCACAAATCTATATAAAAAAATTTAAATTTTTTAGGCTACAGTACAACTAATAAGAGTTAGATTAATATTGTATTAATAAAAAAACAATGGCTATGAAGTAAATTAGATATTTTTAGTTGATAACATAAGATGGGCATGGATACAATATAAAGACTATCATTAAGGAAAACGCATTAAAGAAAGTATGGCTGCCGGCCGTCCATAAAGGCCATGCGATGTGTACACAGTGATTAGGGGCACCTCCCTTACACACCGCATGGCCTTTATGGGCGGCCATCTTGGATTTTTATGTAAGTGTGATTCATCTTATATACTCTATTTTCGACTAATAAAGAATACTACACCATTGGAGGCTTTTTCTTGGGATCTTTCTTCTTTGTGAGCCCCCCCTCTTTGAAGATGACTCCTGCTGACCTGTTGCTTGGCATTGTACATGATCCCCCTGGTGGCTGTTATCGGCATCTCTGGAGGCTGGTTACCATATCCGGATGTATGACACCTGGTGGTTGCTGCACTGATTACTTCAACCGTCTGCAGTGTTCCAGATCCAGAGAACCAGGAGTAGGTCTTATATACTCCATGCGCAAGTGATTGTGCTATCTGGTTAGTGCAATCTATATCCATTTCCATTATCACAGGAGTCACGGATATTCTTCATCACAAGTTTATTGACTCTATCACACTTGTCACTTTATACATCCCACCTCATTGGGATTCAGCACCTTATATGTTATTTAAGACTTTGGTTTAGATGATTGCTTTTTTAGGTTTATGAGCGCTGCATACTTTTTACATATATCAGGAATAGAGCTGAGGCTGTCAATCACAGGCTGTGCCCTCCCCTGGCACCATTTTTCTCTGGGTGTCAGGAAAATTCATCAGAAGTGACTAATGCTAATAGCAAAGGAATGAGGCTGCAGACAGAAATGACACTTAGTACTTTGGATTGAGACAATCACACGCTATAGAGGGATATGCTTTGTTCATATTTCATGTCCAATTTCATTTACAACCACTATAATCTAAATATAAATCTAGATTGGGGTCTCTAAACTTTAAAAAAGGGCCAGTTTACTGTCCTTCAGGCTTCAGTGACCATGTCCACTGGGAGTAGAAAATGTCCTGGCATCAGTGAGAGTAAACGATGTGCCATCTTCAGTATCAGGTGGAGGAGTTTTTGGTTATTTGGTGTTATTGGGAGGAATAGTGCTCCATTATTGGTGTCAGTGGCAAATATTATGCCCCATTGTTGGTGTCAATGGGAGGGGTATTGTCCCAAGGGCCAAATAAAGGGAAGCAAAAGGCTGCATTTGGCCCCAGGGCCACGGTTTGGAGATCACTGATCTAGACAATCTTACATTTATAAAAGAGAGCCACAAATCTATATTTAAAATGCAAAACTTATTTTTGGACTCTTTTATAACTGAAAACATATATTTTCAAAATTCACGTAGTGGCTTTTAATATGCTCAATAAGATGCACTGCGTGTATCAAGAGATCAATTTGCTAATTATAATTTTCCTATAGAGTTGAATTTCAAGTACAAACCCATAAAACAATATGTTTAATTAAATTATAGATTAAAATATAACTAAAGGCAAAGCTTTTTTTTTACGTTTTCAACCAAATGGAAATGGATTAGAACACCTATTGGTTTTGTTTTTCTGCTGTTGGTGCCCCCATTAGGTGTATTTCCCCTTTCTATTTGTTCTTTTTACCATTAACATTAAAAATGAAAGTACAGAAAACACCAAATTTTGGGTTGTTCCCAGAAAAGTAACAGAGGGGACATTTTCAAATGGGGACACTGGGGGTCCCCTAGGAAGTCTCTTAATTTGCAGGGATTATTTCTCACTTCCTGTTTTGGCTATGTAACAGGAAGTGAAACGAAATCTCCCCAATGGCAAAAAACAAACTCTCAGGGGTTGTGACCCTCCCTTACTCTATCCAAAATGAAAAAAAAAGTTTTGCCTATAGTCCTAATTTAAATGTAAATATGTTTTTATTACTAGATTGTAGGCTCCAAGGAGCAGGACCCCCCCTTAACCCTCTTGTATTGATCTGTATTGTTGCTGTATTGTCTCCCTGTAAGAGTCTCAGGCGGTAGCTCTATAGGTCCACAGTTTGGGGTTCCCCCGGGCGCGGAGTCTAACCCCCACTTGTTCACCAGAGCCCCTGATGGTGGGATGGACTTGGAGCAGGCTGAGACCAGGTCACGGCCCCTAGGTACGCCCAGCTGCGGTAGAGGGATCCGCTAGAGTCACATATCTTAGTGGTGAGCCTGATGTGAAGAGGCAGAGCGAACCTGAGCAGGGAATGGATGGGTCTGTGCGGGATGGATGGATGCGGATGCACCGAGACGCTAGTAGTGGAGTCAGGCAGGCCGGGTTTGGTATCCGAGAAGGCAGAGCAGAACAGAGCAGCAGGCAGAAGGATAATCGGGTCACAAGCCAGGTTCAGCAACGGGAGGTACAACAATCAGGAGCAGGCAGAAGAATTCCAGAGACAGGCCAAGGGTCAGGGTAGGAGAAGATCAACGGTAGTCAGGAGCAGGGCTGGGTTCGGCAACAGGAAGCAACACAGAGTTCAGGAATCTCAGGCAGGGAATTAGATCATACGGCAATTTGGATCCTGCAGTGGCCCGTTTAAATAGCCCGCCCGGCACCGACAGGCGCGTCTGGGTCCTATTGCCTGCCCGACGCCGTCATTGATGACAGGCACGCCTGGGTCCTAATGCCCGCCTGCCTGTATGTATTGTCGGGGCCCTGCGCATGTGCAGATTCGTACGCCACGGTGATCTTCCCTGACACTCCCTTTACATTGTAAAATGCTGAGTAAACCGTTGGTGCTATTTAAATCCTGTATAATATTAATAATAATAATTACTACCTGTGGCCTAGTTGGAAATGTTTACCTTCTTTATATGTCCTGGTAACCATTGTCCCTGGTACAGAAGTTGATGAGAAATCCAAAATGTAAAAACTGACACCAAAATAGGAGGTGGTTGGAAATCTGACTGGAACATCTGTTCTGGTGAAGCTTAACCATTTCAAGTCCGGGCACTTTCACCCCCTTCTAGTCCAGGCCAGTTTTCAGCTTTCAGTGCTATCACACTTTGAATGACAATTGTGCGGTCATGCAACACTGTACCCATATGAATTTTTTAGCATTTTTTGAGACAGATAAAACTTTATTTTGGTGGTATTTATTCACCACTGGGATTTTTTTTTCTTTGCTATATAAATTAAAAAGATCACAAATTTTGAAAGTGTTTTTCTTATAAAATTTTGCAAATAAATAATCTTTCTTCATACATGTTGGCCTAAATGTATTCAGCTATCTTTTTAGTAAAAAAAACAAAAACACATTAGTTTATAACCAAAAATTCTAATGTTTCAAAAAAAAATTTTTACATTTTTATTTTTTTTTAATATTATTATTATTTTTTTTATTTTTTAACATACTGTCACCCTAGCAGTACAGTGTCACCATAGTGACACTGTACTGCTTGAGGGGGGTGATGAAGATTTTTTTTTTTACACTAATTGCTTTTACACCCATAAAGGCTGTAAAAGCAATCATTTCTCCTTCTCTCTGACTGCATTCCTGCAGCCATTAAGAAATACTGTGAGAGCTGTGATTGGTCACAGCTTGTCACATGGTACAAGGCTGTTGTGAATAGCCTTGTACCATGTGACCTCTGTGATCACTCTCAGATTTCGCAAGTAGTAAGCAATGATGTCAGGAAGTGACATCTTGTTTATGTAGCACTGCCCCTTGGGACAAGCTGGAATATATTATGGGTCCTGCGCTCAATAGATCCAACCCTAAGCAAACCCAATCCCTCTGGCACAACTGGTAATGAATAGCAAATACCCCGCCAAGAAATTTGCTAACACAGGGTGAAATGAAACAAGAACAATTTTATGCAGAATGAAATGCAGTGTAGAGGGGTGGGGTTCCCCTTTCAACTTCAAAACTTACTTTTCTTCTTTTATGCAATGCAGTAAATTTGGTCTGCCACTAGAGGGCTTCACAGCCAAGAGTCTCCGGATGGCAGAGTCGCACTTTAAGCCGAATACAACTGATATCAAACAAATAAACTTACTTATACTCTATCAATGAAATGTATTACCCACACCGGGGTATGATTCTGCTTCTGAGGGGCGTTAGCCAAAAATCACCTCAGAGTCAGAACAGAATGCAATAAAGAGGTACCTCTAATAAAGCTACTAAGCCAGATTCCCCCACTTCAGTCCTTGTAACGGTGGAGCTCTAGTTGGTGCACGTTTAGTCCTTACAATGAAGTAAATAGCAGCTGAAGGCTTCTTTGGAGTTTCAGCTGGTGTGGGTTACATCAGATTTTACTAGGTTTCTGGGCTGAGAGAATCCAATCTCAGTGTCTAGAGCAACACAAAGCACCCCAAGACCAGGGGCAGTCGCAGGATGCAATCTCCCAGTATGTGTCAGTCCCCGGGGCAGACAGTCTCAATTACACTGGTGGTGAGGGGCAAAGCAGGCAGGGGGATCTGTGGCTTGCACAGGGCCCCGGATGGGTGAGATCCCAGCAGTGGGGTGCTGATGTCCCAGTCTATATGCAAAGTGTAAATGGTGTGTCTTACTCTCTCCAGTGGGACAGCTCACCAGACTCTGAACACACAGCAGGGTCCCTCTATCCGCGCTGGGTGCTGTAGTGCCTCCTCCTCTGCTTGGACGGGCTCCACATGTCCCTGTCTTTTCTCCAGCCTCGTGTCTCTCTGTTCTCCCCTTCACTTCCTGCTTCCTCCCCCTCCCAGCGTTCTTTGCTGTGTAGTGGATGAGTCATGAACTTGGCAGAATGCCCAGGTTTTACAAATAGGAGAGAGAGAGAGAAAGGACTGACTGCTAAACATGTGATTCCTTCTGAATCCTCTTGTACAAGGAGCCTGCTACATTTACTATTCATGTGATCACTGATTGGCCAATCACATGAATCGGGACCTCACACAGACCTCACACATGCCGTTCCTTCAGAGCTCTGTGCTGTTCCAGGGGTCCCGCACATGCTGGCTCTCCCAGTCAGACGGCTGGGGCCCGCAAACCCAGGAGGAAGACTGGGTGAAGATGGAAACCTCATCAGCAGTTGTAGCACACCACTGGAGGGCTTTGTTTTAAGGCAAGTCTTTCATAATGTCCTAGTATGTGATGCATATTAGCAGATTACGATATTACCTTGCGGAAGGAAATCTTTTTTTTTTTTTTTCAGAAACTTTACTGCTGCTTTAAGATAGACAGATGATCTCTATCCTAATGTTGTTATGCACAATACCAGGTAGCTAGGTCTGTGCTACTGAATGTGTGTCTTGGCCATCTTCCAGCATATTAGTAGATGAACCTGTTTTTTGCAATAGTTTATATGCAACTTCTTTTATTTTAGTTATCCATGTCTCTACTGGTCTGGGATTCTTTAGTTAATTTTAGCTTGGGTCTGGTAACCAGAACAGGTTAGAGCCAGGTTAGGCATCCAATGAGCACTTCTAACAGTTAGAGGTCTGGTCGCACGTCAGATTAGAAACTAATAAGGATTGACTGAAGCACAGAGTAGATAGGCTGACTCTAGATTCAAGTGAGAAGCCGCATTACAGGCTGGTTGGACAACAGTTGGAGAATCTTCCCATTATTGGTCTTGTCTTCAAATCTCCAACACAAAAAGGGATTTTTAATCACGTTATCATCAGGGAACTCTACAACTGAAATTTGCTGCAACATTCATCTGGAGGTATCTCTATTAATAACTACTGTGTACATATATATCTGGGTATATGTGCACAATTCCACCACGACTCATATCAGGCCCTTTGCTGATAATACCTATTTGTATATTAGATGTATGTACTATTATTAACCTTTTTTTTGTATAAAGTTTGTATTATTTCCATACTGGTGTGCATCTATATGCTTTTGGCAATGTTGTATGTTGTTTTTTGGTAATGTGGTATGTACAGTTGCAAGAAAAAGTATGTGAACCCCTTGGGATTACGTGGAGTTTTGCATGAATTGGGCATAAAATGTGCTCTGAACATCATCTAAGTTGCAACAATAGAAGAACACAGTCTGCTGAACATAATACAACACAAACATTAGATGTTGCCATGGTTTAATTGCACATAACATGTAAACATTCACAGTGCAGGGAGGAAAAAGTATGTGAGGCCTTAGCTTAATGACTTCTCCCAGAGCTAGTTGGAGCCAGGAGTGAGCCAACCTTGACTCCAATCAGTGCGATGATATTGGATGTGTTGCTGACAGCTGTCCTGCCCTTTAAAAACACACACCTGTTTTGGGTTTACTGGTTTCAAGAAGCACTGTCTGATGTGAACCATGCCTCGCAGAAAAGAGCTCTCAGAAGACCTACGATCAAGAATTGTTGACTTGCATGAAGCTGGAAAGGGTTACAAAAGTATCTCCAAAAGCCTTGATGTTCATGTGTCCACGGTAAGACAGACTGTCTACAAATGGAGAAAGTTTAGCACTGTTGCTACTCTCCCTAGGCGCGGTCGTCCTGTAAAAATGACTGCAAGAGCACAGCGCAGAATGCTGCATGAGGTAAAGAAGAATCCCAGAGTGTCAGCTAAAGACCTACAGAAATCTCTGGCACATGCTAACATTTTTGTTGACACATCTACAATAAGGAAAACATTAAACAAGAATGGAGTACATGGGAGGACACCACGGAGGAAGCCATTGCTGTCCAAAAAGAAGATTGCAGCACGTTTGAAGTTTGCAAAAGAGCACCTGGATGTTCCACAGCACTACTGGCAAAATATACTGTGGACAGATGAAACCAAGATTGAGTTGTTTGGGAAGAACACACAACACTGTGTGGAGAAAAAAAGGCACAGCACACCAACATCAAAACCTCATCCCCACTGTAAAACATGGCGGAGGGAGCATCATGGTTTGGGGCTGCTTTGCTGCCTCAGGGCCTGGACGGATTGTTGCCATTGATTGGAAAATGAATTCCAGAGTTTATCAAGACATTTTGCAGGAAAACGTACGACCATCTGTCCGCCAACTGAAGCTCCGCAGAGGATGGGTGATGCAACAGGACAATGACCCAAAGCATACAAGTAATTCAACAAAACAATGACTGCAACAGCACAGAATACGCCTTCTGGAGTGGCCCAGTCAGAGTCCTGACCTCAACCCGATTGAAATGCTGTGGCATGACCTTAAGAGAGCGATTCACACCAGACATCCCAAGAATATTGCTACACTGAAACAGTTTTGTAAAGAGGAGTGGTCCAAAATTACTCCAGATCGTGCAGGTCTGATCTGCAACTACAGGAAACGTTTGGTTGAGGTTATTGCTGCCAAAGGAGGGTCAAAACCAGTTATTAAGTCCAAAGGTTCACATACTTTTTCCTCCCTGCACTGTGAATGTTTACATGTTAAGTGCAATTAAACCATGGCAACATCTGATGTTTGTGTAGTATTATGTTCAGCAGACTGTGTTCTTCTATTGTTGTGACTTAGATGACGTTCAGAGCACATTTTATGCTCAATTCATGCAAAACTCCACGTAATCCCAAAGGGTTCACATTCTTTTTCTTGCAACTGTAGTAGTTTCTCTGCTCCCAATCACTTTGATTAGATTACTGATTAATTTCCCAGGAAGAAACACAGATGCCCTGTCCTGAGTGGAGGCACTTGCATTTTTATTTTCAAGCCCACTCTTCCACTTAGTGAAGGTTCTGGCTCTCTCGATTACATACAGGTTTAACGCAATATCCTGTTTGGAGAGGGTCATTTCTCATAACTTCCCACAAAAGAGGGCTACAATACAACTATTGTTGAGTATAAAAACTTCTTACCAAAAACAAAGACTGCATGCAAAGTCAAAAGAATACAAACTCTGTAATTGCTCTTTTGTATAAATAAATAAAATATTAATCAATAAATCTATCTTTGACATAATTAGATTGCTATAGAATCCTTTTTAGAATATAGTGTTAAAAATATACTTTCTAGTTTAATCTATAGATAGTTATGGTTTTTATACTGGAAATTATTCAGTCAAGGCTTTTTTGCATAAAGACATTGTATAAAATGGTTGTGTACAGAACTCCAAGCTGGGTGGGAGCAGAGATGGAAAAGGCTAAAGATATTCTTTTTATCACTATTAATTGGCCGGTGTAACAAAACAAAAAGTTAGGACTGTCTTTTTTTTAATTGTTTTGCTAGGTAAATGCAGTTCCGTTCCGTTAATTACTGTTATTCAGAATACTGCAGGTGTCTAACCTAGGGTTGCCACCTCATCCCTTTAAACCCGAATACATATTAATTACACAGGTTCTGTGGCTGATTAAGGTGGTAATTAAACTCACTTAGTGCCTTGTGTGCAATAACTTAGCCTCAGGACTGTAGGGACTCACATGCAACCCAATGCCAATGTCCAGTAAGTAAAATTCAGGGAGGAGGGAATTTGTGCTGATG